GAGAGAGAGAGAGAGAGAGAGAGAGAGAGAGAGAGAGAGAGAGAGAGAGAGAGAGAGAGAGAGAGAGAGAGAGAGAGAGAGAGAGAGAGAGAGAGAGAGAGAGAGAGAGAGAGAGAGAGAGAGAGAGAGAGAGAGAGAGAGAGAGAGAGAGAGAGAGAGAGAGAGAGAGAGAGAGAGAGAGAGGAGAGGAGAGAGAGAGGAGAGGAGAGAGGGGAGAGAGAGAGAGTGAGCGGGAGGGGGAAACTGTGTGCAAGAAAGAAAAGTTTAAAATTGAAGAAGAAATGGAAATGAGAAAGGGGAAAAATATGGGGGAAGAGAATGGAGACATGGATTGGTGGGTGTCGCAGCCCAAGATTGAGCTTCATGCTCACCTCAATGGCTCCATCAGAAACTCCACACTGCTGTAACTCTCTCTCTCTAGCCATTTATCACCTTACTTTCTCTCTCTAGTCTCTGAGGGGACTTCATTTCCTGCTCCTACTCTCTATTTATCTCTAATCTAGCTTCATCTCTCCCTAAGAACTTCGTTTCCTGCTCCTATTGTCTCTCTCTATATGTATATCTTTCAACATTATGCTATTTTCTTTTTGTTTATAAATTTTCAGGTTTGGTTTCTATCTCTGGTTTTAATCTTATATGTACTGCGGTCCATTTCATTTTCTTTTTCTTTATAACTTGTTTCTAAATTCTTATTTTTAGTTTATTTATTTATATACACCTTACAGTTTACCTCCCTTCTCGAGTTATTTCTGTTCTTTAGGGGCGATTAATGGCAGTTTCTATCTGCATTGCTTCAGTGATGCTATGCCCTATTTTCTTTTCCTATTGTTTCCTAAATATTAGTATTCTGCCTTTTTATGTGCTTATACTTCTGCTTATTTGGCAACATTTAATCTCGTTGTCTTTTCTTTGTGACTGCGTTCGGTCTTATTTTTGTTAGATTTGATGTTCATTTATTTGTCTCCATTTCGATTCTTTTTTTTCTCCAATTTTAGTTGTTATTAAGCTCTGGTATAGTATAGTTGCATCTTGAAAGATCCTGCTGTTGAATCGAATTCCAACTCTTTTATGCCCTATTTTCATTTCCTTTTGTTTGCTACAAATTAGATTTTTGCCTTGTTATATTCTTAACACTTGCTGCCTATGTGACAATTCTGTCTTCGTGTCCTTTAGATTTGATGTTCTATTGTTTGTGTTGACTTCAGATTTTTCTTTCTCCAATTTAGTTGTTATTAAGCTCTGATAAGTAGTATAATGGCATTTTTACTGTCGAATTGATGCACCAACAAGAAACTGGAATGGTTGTCAGATAGCCCAAATGGTGGTTAAAGAAAGATAATTTTGGAAAAATGCTTGCAAATTAGGTCATAGGATACATAATCTTGATGTTATTTGTAATGTGAAAGAAGAAATTATTATGTTCAGATGAAAATCTCTTTGGTGGAGAGGGTGGACCTTTTACAGCATTCTTATTATTTACTGTTGCTCTGCAAGTATTACTTGTCTTGCTCTTTACTCTTACATTCTGTGGTGAGCATTGTGGTATTTATCCCTCTAATGTTACCATGACTGGGGCTAATGGAGCTGATTGTTGTCAAGTTTCTCCTTGTTTAGGCAATTGAATTAGCCATAATTAGAACCTGGAGGCCTCTAAGAAAGTGCTTCTAACTCATTGAAATAATCATTGGATTACTTTCTCGACCATGTCGACCCCTTACAAAGTGCCTTTTTTGCAGTGAAATAATCACATGCATTACTTGACCATGCTGGCCCCTTACAACTTCCCTCTGATTTGGATGAGCCCTTGGTGACATCTTTGGGCATGCAACTTTACAATAATCATTCACTGGAAACCTTTTAATTCTTGTCATGGCCTTGTCTACTTGGTTATTTGTCCAATTGAAACCCAATTCTCTTAAAGGGAGTTCTATCAAGTTTGTTTCTTTAAATGAAGGCTAAAAAGTTTACATGTGCCTCCACTGTAAATGTGTTTTCCCTGATACCCGATATGGTCATACCATTCCGATGTTACTCTACTCTTTGCATTTCCACCTCTGCTTGCCCACATTTTTATTTTTTTCAACATTTCTGAAGTTGTATTTTTGCCTAGATTGTAATTAATGTGTGAGTGGTTAGTGCTTTTTTTTTTTAATATTAATGACATACAGTTAACTTCTCTCTCTCTCAAAAAAAAAAAAACAAAAACAAAGAAAAGAAAAAAGAGAAAACATGTGAATGATTGATTATTGTGTTGTTATTTCTTAATTTCTGGACAATTGACTACATTGCTTTGCGCAGTGAACTTGCAAGAGGCTTAGGTCAAAAGATGAATGCTGTATCTGCTGATATCGAACATGTGATCATGAAGGGTATGCAACACTCTGTCCTTTTTACTTTGTCATTGGGTGGCAGTTTGTCACTGTGTTCCATATTTCTTCATGGCTTAGGTATATGTAAGGATTAGATGAAGGATGAAATCAAAAGATATCTATTTCCATGCTATGCCTCGGTTTACTTCAGAAACCATTTTTAAATATTAGGTAGAAGATCTTAAGTAATCTTCTAAACTAATCGTAACGGCAGTTCCCCTACGCCTTCTCTCTTCTTACTTTTTAATACATTAATGGGCTCAAATCCAACTAGATGTTCATGATCATTTTAATATCACATTCAGTTTTATTTTTTTCTGTGATTTTTTATTATGTATTGATTCATCTATGTTTGAGTGATATCTTCTTGCAGGTGATCGCTCTCTGCCAGAGTGCTTCAGAATGTTTGATTTGATCCACATATGTACAACTGATCATGGTACTGTCACTAGGATCACCAAAGAAGTATGTTTGTCCTTGTGAACTGATACCCCATAGTATTTTTGGCATGCATTTTATGCTAATACATTAAATGGCTGCCACTTTTTGCCTCTGTACAGGTGGTCGAAGATTTTGCTGCTGAGAATACAGTGTATTTGGAGTTGCGGACTACTCCAAAGGTGCTTCATCTTCTAAACTTTCACGTCATTGCCTTTGAAGAGTTGATGGTTGTTTAAGCATTAAAAACTATTTGTTGTAAATAGAAGCTCTGGTTTCCATTTTGCAGAAGAATGAGACTATCGGTATGACTAAACGCTCTTATATGGAAGCAGTCATAGATGGCTTGAAGGCTGTAGAGGCAGTCGAAGTTCTATTTATTCCTTCAGATGAAAGGACTGAGAGCTCTAAAGAGTCCCCACTTATGAATGACTCATCCAAAACAAAAAAAGGAAACCAAATATATGTTCGGCTGCTTCTAAGCATTGACCGCCGTGAGAGTACAGATGGTGCAATGGAAACAGTACGTCAAGGGGCTTGTTGAGTTCAGAGTTTCCTGCTTAACTTTGGGGATCTTATTGCAGTCCTCTGTGGTTATTATCCCATGGTGCAATTGGGGATTGTGATTTCTGTGTGTATTGCTTATTTCAGGGATTCTTAATACGACCTATATAGTTGCTTATTATCATGGTTAAATCATCCAAAATGCAACAAAGTATAGTTTTCATGTCTACAGGCTCAGCTGGCACTGGAAATGAGGAAGCTTGGGGTTGTTGGCATTGACCTTTCAGGAAATCCTGTTGTTGGAAATTGGTACTTGTTTCTCATCAAATCTTAACTATCTGCTTTCTTGATTTCTTCTAATTCTAACCCCCACAAAGATAACTGCTAACGAACATTGAACACTTATGTGAGCCTTTATCAACATAACCTTAAACCTCAAAGGTTCAGATTATGCAATGTGATACTGCAGGTTGACGTTCTTGCCAGCATTGAATTGGGCTAGGGAACAGGGCCTTTCAGTAACTCTTCATTGTGGGGAGGTCTGTTGGACCTTCAAGTGTGTAGTTTTTTGTTTTTTAATTTTAACCTGCACGCTAGATTGTGCTGACAAGTTTATTTTCACATCTTAGTGCATATAGGTGCCTAACCCAGAGGAGGTCGAGGCAATGCTGGAATTTCATCCACAAAGGATAGGTCATGCTTGTTTTCTCAATGAGAAACACTGGAAAGTGTTGAAGTCATCCAATATTCCTGTAAGTCATTCTGTGTTAATTAAACTTGTTGCCATTTTATGTGTCTCACCTACAACATTGTTGTTGATCTTACTACATTCTAATTTCTTTTTGTCCTCACTTGAGCAGGTGGAGATTTGCTTGACATCAAATGTCAGGACAGATAGTGTTTCATCTATAGATTATCATCACTTTGGTATGGTCTCCTTTTCATTTCTATGCCTTATCAACTCCTCCCATTTTCACTTGGTTTGCTTGCAGGACTGCCTGGTATATGAAATTTGTACTTTAAGGATGGAGGCGAAACAGATTTTATGCAATTTAATGAACAGACTGTCCTCTCTTTTTATATCACATCTTGCTGTGGTAATATATTATTTGAGCTCCTGCTACATATCTAGATTGTGCTTTTTGTAATTATCATTTAGCATGTTTTCTTTGCTGCACTAGATTTTGGGATATTGTCTCCATTTGTTATCCAATTTTTTAAAAATCATCACACGTAAAGGATTCAATAATGGACTTTATTATCAAACGGTTGATCAATATTTAATGGCTCAATCTTGAATGCTGCATTGCATATTGATGATGGACAAAATTATTCTTATTTTCATTTTTTTTTTTTGTCAAAGGATGCCTTTTTTTTATTTAATTTTATTCTTATTTTCATCATTTTTTTTTTTTGGTCTAAGGATGCCTTTTTTTTATTTAATTTTAGGGCTTTTTTTTAGGGTGGTTTTTAAGGGGTTTTGGGGTGTTTTATTGCAAGGATTTTTAGTTGTTTAGAAAAGAACTTGCAATGTTTATGAAATAGCTCTAGGTTATTGAGACCCTAGGTAGGTTTAGAGGAAGAAACCGTAGGTTTTTTCTAATTGTTGCTTGTGTTTGCCCCGAATTATTGCTGTTTTTTTGTTCTCTATGAATATGCCAACATCAATTTAGTATTAAAGCTCTTGTTTCTTCAATAATAAGGTTAGGAAACTACAACTAGGATTTGCTGATTTTGGGCCAAGTTTTGCCAAATTCAACCTAGATCTTGCTAAGTTCAATGAGGTTTTGTTGATTCTTTGCTTAGAGTTTGTGATTTCGATGAGGCCATGACAACAAGAAGTGGTCGTGGAATAGGGGCTTTTGTAGACCCACTTTGTGATCCCAGAGATGAGGTGATTGAAGACCTTAAAATACAAATGTTAGTAGATGCAGTAGCTCACAGACATCGCTAGTGGGCAAGAGGGTGATCTCACCACCCTCTAGATGTTGAATGTAATCCTTTTCACTGTCGTGCTCAACATGAAGAGTTGACCGAAGAGGAAAGTGATAAAAGACCCAGATGTGGTGGATATCACTCTAGGGTTTTGATGGATGGTAAAATTATTCCTACTTTTTATTTTTATTCAATTTTAAAAAATGCATAATTTGATTTTAATTTAAGGGTTTATTTTTGGAGTTTTGAAGTTTTGAAGTTTTTGGGATTCTAGGGTTTTTTTATATTTTTTTATTTGCTATTCATGAGTACTATTTATGGTACTGTTCATAGGTACTGTTCATGGGTACTGTTCACGTGTTAGTGTTCTTAGGGGTATTTTAGAAATTTTAGTATTATTTTAGGTGTTTAGAGTATTAAATGTCTGCGTGAATCTCAAGTTAGTTTAGGATTTCATAGGCTTATAAAAAGTTGGATGTCACATTTTGGAATATCTATGTTATGGGAATGAATTTTTTTTTATGAATGAAGAAAGTTCTTCTTCTCTGGGCTTGATTTACAGCCATGTTTATCCTCCATTATCGCTGATTTTACTTGTTTAAGGTTCAGAAAAAAGGTGGATTCAATTTCCCACCATTCCTTCCTACATCAACTAGTATCAGAGCATGATTCGAGGATGGTTGGAGATTGCGATGGCTTGTCGTGGAGGTCTCAGTCATAAGGATGCCGATTTGATCCAACTATGCAAGGAAATCAACAACTTCACAGAGAGGGTTATAGTGCCATTGTTGTGCAAGCGAGGCCAGCAACAACATGCCTTAAATGAAAATGAGTCTACAGGGATAGATCGAAATCGTGAGGGTTTTTATGGAGAATGGTGCAAATCAGAGTCTGATTAAGAGTTGGAGCCGAATGTTGGTGCTGCCTTCAACCACCCGTTCTATTCATGTGCTCGGTATTGTGAGCATCATGTTCGGGAGAATAGATTATGGGATTTAGTTGATCTGCATGATTTGAAGGAGAACGAGGTGATTTTGGTGTTGGTCGTCTCGAAAATCAGCAGGTTGTAGATTGGGATCTGCCACCATTTTTTGATACATACTTAGATGATGAATAAGGCTTTGTAAGAGATCTAATCTATGATGATCAAGATTATGTGGGTGAACCGATCTTTGACGAAAAAAAACATGAAGATCTTACACATATCAAAGAGGTGAAACATTAAGGAGATTTAGGGCATTGGAATCAAAGTAGCGTAGTAGAAGTGTGGTCAACTCAAAATCCGCATATTATGGCCGTGATTTCAGAGAGTAATGAGATAGATATCGAGAAAGACTCTAAAGTACAAAAAATTAGGTTTGAATTTTCCTACACGATTTTCAATGAGAGCTCAAGAAAAGTTGAATTTGATAAATTTGCATCGATTTCTCAATATGCGTATCATTATCAATTTTTTGAGGAATTATTTTTACCACGAATAATCTTTAAACCAACTGAGAAGAAGAATTTTAAAGAATGTTAAATTCATCCTAGCACATTTCAAAACTCGAAAACGAGTTTTCTCTAACCAAGGGAGAATGATGGAGGAAAAAATTATACTTATTCTTTATTTTTATTCAATTTTAAAGGATATATATTTTGATTTTAGTTTTAAGGTCTATTTAGAGCATTTTAAGTTTTTTTAGGATTCTAGGGGTTTTTATATTTTCTTTATTTACTATTCATGAGTACTATTCATGTTACTGTTCATAGTTATGGTTCATGAGTACTGTTCATGCATTGCTGTTCACAGGGGTATTTTTGAAATTTTATTATTGTTTTAGGAATATTTTAGAGTCGTAAATGTTTACTTAGATCTCAAGTTAATTTAGGGTTTCATAGGCATGTAAAATGTTGGATGTCATATTTTGGGAGATATATGTTATGGAAATGAATTTTATTTTATGAAAAAAGAAAATCTTCTTCTCTTGGCTTGATTTACAACTATGTTTTTTCTCCATTATTACTGATTTTGCTTTTTTTTAAGTTTTGGAAATGGGTGGATTCAATTTTCCACCTTTTCTTCCTGCATCAGGTTTCCAATTTTAAGGAGGACATTCTTGATTTTTAGGCAAGTCGTATCCAACATCAGCAGGTTATAGATTAAGGTTCCACCAATCTTAGATACATGGTCAGATGAACAAGAAGATGTCTTAGGAGATTCAATATACGATAGGGTTCAAGATGAAGATGAAGATGTTGTGAAAGAGGATCTTGCTCATGGAGAGAAGGCAGCAGGGGCACTCATCAAAATCATGGCCTTTGAAGATCTCAAGGCTATTGAAGAGATGACTTATTCAAGATATTTAGGGCATTGGACTTAGAGTGGCAGAACAAAAGTGTGGTCGACTCCTAAACCATAAATCTTTGTGTTGCACTCAGAGAGTGTAACGAAATAGACATCAAGAAAGCTTCTGAAGGTGAAATATTGAGTTTGAAGTTTCCTACTCAATTTATGATGAGTTCATGGTTAACCGAATTTGATAAGTTTGTATCAATTCCTTACCATACATACCTGAAATAGATGTCGAGAAGGCCTTTAAAGGACAAAAAAATAAGCTTGAAGTTTCCTACACATATTTTAATACGAGTTCAAGGATGGCCGAAATTGATAAGTTTGTATGCTAGGTTCAATTTTTTGAGGATTTCTTCTTACGACAAATAATATTTGAACCAACAAAGAAGAAAAAATTGGAAGAAGGTGGTTTTGATATTGGATTCATCTTTAGTCTACTCCTCCAACCAGGGGAGATTGATGTAGGACAAAATTATTTTTATTTAATTTCAAAGGATATCTATTTTGATTTTAACTTTAGGATTTTTTTTTTTTTTTTGGATTTTGGGTTTCTTTTATTTTATTTGTTTATTTTTGGATTTTTATGAGTTGTTTAGAAAAGTAGTTACAGAGTTTTTGGAATGTTATATTTTATCAGGGGTAAAAATATTATCATGAAATTTGTCTTGTTAGGATCATTTAGTTGACTTTATATTCGATTAGGGCATTATTGTCATTTGTACTTAATGTGATAAATAAAAGAGGTGTTGGGCCCTATGGGGATATTCACGTGGTTTGTTTATAGGGGTGGCAATGGGCCAGGTGGCCTGGCTCCACCTTGCCCCCTCTTGGCTTGGCCCAGGCCCTAGTTTGTTAGGGCTGGGCTGACCGGGCTGGGCCGGGCCGAGCTGGGCCACCTGGTCCATTGCCAGCCCTAGTGTGGTATGTATTCCATTGACCTGATCAGAACTTTGTTGTATATAAACATGTACTGTCAATTAACACATGGTAAAAAGGCAAAGACATGACTACCTCCAAACACTCAAACTATTTCTAGAAGCATAGTTAAGGTTACATAGATTCCTAGAGTACCCTGGCATGACTTGTAATATTATTTTTATGAAAGACCTTAATTTATGAATAAATTACATTGGTATTAATCAAAATTCACGCGACAACCTAGACTATATGTGTAAGCTTGAGAGAGTGGTGTGTGGATTTAAACAAGTGCCAAGCCTATATCCAAGTGTGATGGTTATATTTCTTTCATTCAGCGACGGTTTCTTTTTTTTAAACATCTATTCCGCAACAATTTGTTTCAAACAGCATATGATGGCGTGTTGGTAGGAAGAGTTTGGATAATTGTGATCATATGGTGATGGTTTGAACTTGACTGGTTTATATGAGTTGCATCATATCTCCACAGTGTTGTAAGTTAGATTCGACTTGATTTAGTTACTTTTAATACCTTCTTGATTGGTTATCATTCAATTGGCTCTTTTGGGATATTTTTGTGAGGCTCAATTTGTTTGAGATCACTTGGACAAGTTTGACATTGCTTCTACGAAGTGGGACACTAGGATGGGAGTCGAGGTCGTAAGTGAGCTCGAGGAAATTAGCTCCTAGAAATATGAAAAACTATTAGTTCAATGTCATAATCTTACCATTAGGAAAATGGAGTGGTATGCTCCCTTGGAGCAACTGTACTGTTGTAGTAAATGGGTTGTATTTGACTTGCCTTCGACTAAGGTGGAGATACCATTCATTTAAAATATAATTATTAAACATGGTTAGTGACCAAAACACACCCAAACACCTCAAATTGATGCTATGAGAATCAACTAGAAATAAATGGCAGGCTCTCATCATTCCTGTGTTAGAGATTGGTTAATGAGTACCATGAATCTGAAAAAATAAAGGTTAACAGTCTTAAAAATAGATGATTTTTAGACTTTGTTTTTGGACCGTTCAGTTTAACTCTTTTAAAATGATGAATTTTAATTCTTTTAAGATATTCTATTTTATAGTTCAAATTCCCATTTTTTTTCTGATTCATAATTGTGGTGGTCGAGATTTTCGTCTTGTGAAATTTTAGATTCCAAATGCATCTCTAAGAAAGGTTTTTGGATGGGGATCTATATGAATATGCACATACCAATACGTTTTCCGTTATAACTCTCTATCTACCTATCTATGTTGCACTAACCGTTAGGCTATATTATCATCTTACACATGGTGGATGATACATGATATTTCCAAGTTCCATTATACGTGCGAAGTCTGCAGACAAAAGTCTTTCCTAACCTTCCAGAACAACAATGAAGATTTAAGAAACTTGCTAGGTCCTTTGATGGTTGAGGATCATATGGGAGAATCTATTAGACCTGTATGAGATCTAAGGCAATATTAAAGTGCCTTAGGACTGACAAGCTCTCTAAGTCTACTGATCCATATTACATTCAATGTGTTTCAAATTAACAGTTCTTTGAGTTATACTTATTCCTTCATTACTTTAAGTTATAACCTTTTGTACCAGATTTTTTTACAGCTAAAGTGGTATGGGATGCTGGTCAAATCTCTCCTTCTCAATTGTCTGAAGTGCAAATATTTATGTACGTTTATAACTAGCTTCAACAATACAAGTAGGGCTTCTTGTTAATTGGTGTCAACAACTTTATGGATTTGTGATCAACTTGTGGTGTGGACCTATTTACTGAGCAGCTTTTTGGCTATATGAGAAAGCATGAGATATTTGTGATGTGTATAGTATACATGTAGAAGCTGCAACCCCCACCTCACCCCATCCATTCCCCCCCCCATATGTACTCTATATTCTCTGACACATGGTGGTGCCTCCAGTGGTTACTGTACACTAGTGTTTTAAAAATTGCCAATCTGGATTGGTTCTGTAGGGAACAGACCCGGTTCCTTCACATAGTGGGGAGACAGCCTAAATCTCTGGTGTTTTAAAAATTGCCAATCTGGATTGGTTCTGTAGGGAACTGACCTGGTTCCTTCTCATAATGGGTAAACAGCCTAAATCAGTGTGGGAGACCTGGGCAATTCTGTCAGTAGAATAGGCTAATCCTATTCAGAGGACAGGTTGATTACCACTCAATCTAATTTTGTATAATATTTTATTTTGAATAATCATTTTTCTTGACCCCGGAAAATCGGTTATCCAGATCAAAATTACTGATCTAGATTGGTATTAGTGGAGGGCTGACAGTGCGTGTATCTTTACACTTTTGGCATTTTATGCAGAAATAAACAATGTAACTGAATGTAAAATCATTAAATGACACCAGACTGTGTAGGCTAAATTAGACTTTCCTATGTTTTCCTGGCTTTTTAACTTATGTGGGGGTATTGTAAGAATTTGTCTGTCACACTACATTTATTTCCCTGAATACCTGTTTCACAAATCCATACAATGCATGTTGAATTGGATGCGTAGTTGTTGTTCACAGTTCTGGTGTGTGAAGCCATGAAGGCTATTTTCAATGTAGTTTCATGTACAAAGGAAATAAACAGATATATTAGCAGAGGAATCATGTCAACAATGCTACTCTTTTGTCAAGTATTTCTAATTTATGATATGTATTGTGTAGTTGATCTCTACCATGCAAAACATCCATTGGTCCTATGCACTGATGATCCGGGGGTATTTTCGACTAGTCTTTCTCGAGAGTACAAGATTGCAGCTTCCACTTTTGGTATTTCCTGACTACTCTGTGTGTGTGTGTGTGTGTGTGTGTGTGACTCCTAGTCTGTCTGTTTTTGAAGGTCTTGGGAGAGGTGAGATGTTTCAACTGGCGGAGGATGCAATCCAGTTTGCTTTTGCTGAAGATAGAGTGAAACAGGATTTGAAAAAAACCTTCACTTCTGTGCGAGGAGAGCTCAGTCTATAATGCTGACTCCATTCTGGAATGCCTATCTGGTGAATTTACGGTAGTATCGTTTAGTCCGTCCATTGTGCACTCTATTAGACATAGGCTTACTTCAGTTTTGATAATCTGTTGTTCTAGATCAACTATATTTGTATAATTGTTGGAAAACTGTTCTCCATTTACTGATTCCAGGTCTGAATATTGGTGCAAAACTTTGGGAAATGACTGCCCCTAAAAAGTCTTTGACACATGTATTGGGTTGGCGCTGATTTTGTTCCCCATTAGTTTTTATATGAAAAGAAATCATGTGTCCGCCCAATATAGTAGCCCACACTTGGATTATTTTTGTGCTTGATTTTGACAACTGGTCAAACGTTGAACATCTTTCATATTATAGGTAGTATCTATCTCAGTATGTTAAAACACACTCTTCGGGTTGCAATCTCACTTTAGATGTTCAAAAGTGAAAAAAATGATGGATTTTTGGAGTTAGTCGACTCGTATGTACACATGCGTTCCCTTATTAAAATCTATCTTAAAGATGGACTTTCAGTCAAATTTTGTAGGGATTCATGTTCTAGGCCTTGGTGATCATGAATATGAAAGAAGCAAAATTCTTAAAATTTAAAATGCGTCTTTTAGGGATTTTTTTTTGCACATATAAATATTGCATTTAAGAAAATTCCCCTAATTTGCGTGTATCCTCTTGGCATCTTTTTATTTTTATTCCAAATTTGCCTTCACTTTAGATATGAAAAATCTGAAATCACAAAGCATGTTGATAACTTCGAGTTATCAATATCCATAGGGATATTTAGATTTTTAAAATTTTTACTTTTTAAGTAAAAAGACGAACATGAAATGACTTTGGATTTTGAAAATCCTATAGTCAAAGTGACTTAAAATTTTCAAAATTCAAAATCACTTAAAATTTTTAAAATAGTAAGAAGTTTTGCCAAATGAAAAACTTTTCAAGAAAGAAGGGGGCAGAGATGATATTTTCTAAGATAATTGGGAACCTTTCTAGAGAGGGCGAGAGAGAAAGATTGACGGCCATGAGTCCATGTTTATATTGGTGCGGTGTTATGATAATGGGGATTTGAGACAACGGGTGCGGTGTTATGATCCTAGGGATTTGAGAACAAGGTGGGTTCCAACTTCTTAGGATTTGGACTCTTGTCGTGCTTTGAACCCTAATGTTTCAGCCATGCTAGATGTACTCTCTTAACACTGTAATTAGCCCTTTTACTATATAATGATATTGTTAAAGAGGAAAAGATGGGATTAGCCCATTAACTCATATGAATATATGAGCACATATTGAATTTGGGTCGATCTGTTGATCATGGATGTTTGGTAATTCTTGAATTTTATTTATTTTTTATAGATCTAAATCAATTGAAAATTTATGTGTGTATTTTTATTATCAAAGTGCACTTAATAAAATATAAAAAAAAATTATTCTTAAAAAAATAAATGACCAAAATACCCTCCAAAACTTTTTTGATATTTTTCGAAGATTCGTCTATTTTTTTTGAACTCTAAATATGGTCAAAATGAGTCATCTCCAAAAACAAATCTAGACTATTCATTTTGTGAATTTCAAGATCTTAGCCTTTATAAACGTAAAATCAAAATTTTTTTTTTTTAATATTATTCATCTAATGATAATAAATTCATCCAAAAAAAGTAGAAATGAAAAAATCCTTTTAAGGTCTAGATTTAAGCATCTCACTAAAATAAACAGGCTGTGTTAATTGGGCTAAATTTTTTTTTTTATAGGATGTGTTTTCAAATTTTTTTTTTTTGTGATTGTTTATTAGAATGAAAAGAGTATATTTTAAAATTTCGATCAAACAAATGGCCGTAAGATAGTTTTTTAATCTTATTGCATCATATTACTATACAACGATTGCATGACATCATTGTTCATTGTTAAAAAGGTAACCTAGGCAAATTAATCTTCGAAATATTTGAAAATAAAAAGTCACATAAAACACTCGTCTAATTGCGCAGAATATAGGCAAATCCGTAAATGTAGAGAGAGAAAGTGGCATGTTTTTGTAGAAAGACGGTCTGAAATGGTGAAAGAGAAAGGAAATAGAAGTAGTAAAAAAACTGTTCAAGATAAGAGTAAAAAATTCTTTTTAAAGAGTGAGTAGTGGCTGTTAAGGCGATTGACATTCACAACCGTTCACGTGACGTGCGAATTTTGGGTTTCCAATTCAATCTCAACCTCTGGATTTGCGTAGAGGCTCCTTGCTTCAACAGCTAGTTTTTTAGTCGTTCGATCTCACATGTGTCACGCTCACACCCCTCTGTTCCCGTAGCTCTAACATGCAAAATTAGACCGAGCATCAAACGCAGTTGCACGTTTCTCGTGCTTTACAAATGCACCCAAACCCACATCTTTGTTATAGAAACAGAGTATTTCCACATAAAAAACATTTTCACATAAGAAAATACTCTTTTCACATTTTGCATCAATTTAAAACTCTGACAAAAACACTACTTATGGATAAAATATCTGATAGTATTTTACAATACTAAAATATTGATAGAGGGGTCTATATTATTCTTGGGAGTCTATATTATTCTCGATGTTGGCTTTTTTTTTTTTTTAGCAGTTGAGATTGGCTGAGCTATAGGGTATTTTAATAAGTAGAAGACACCTGTTTTTTGGGTGGAGGAAAACATATTAGGTCATAACCTTGAGCTAAGGGGCTTTTCCTGTGGGTTTTTGGTTGGAAAGTGGTTGTCCTTATAATTCTTGATCTTGGTTTTTCTTGTAGTCGAGATTGGCTGAGTTATAGGGTATCTTTGTTGGTGAAAAATGTCTAGTTTTTGGGTGGAGGAAAATGGGGGGTAGGTCGTAATCTTGAGGTGAGGGGTTTTTCTGGTGACTTTTTGGTCAGAATGTATGGTTTTTCTTACAGTCCAAATTGGCCAAGTTACGACATATAAACGTGCATTAGATCAAGATGATTGTCATTATTCTTCTTGAATGAAAAATGAAGAAGGAAAAAAAAAGAAGGGAGAATTTTATGGTCATAAATTCGTTTATATCATCTATTTTGAAAAAAAAAAAGAAGAATTTTATGGTCATACATTCGTTTATATCATCTATTTCGAAAAAAAGAAAGAAGAATTTTATGGTCATAAATTTGTTTATATCATCTATTTCAAAAGAAGAAAGAATTGGTCTGACGGTTACAATCTTATTTCGTATTTGAATTTTTATTTTTATTTTACAAATCCAAATCACTTGAAATTTTAAGCGTCGGGGCACTTAATAAAAATATAAATTGATCAAAATACATCCTAAATGTTTCAAGGGTATTTTGATCAATTTATATTTTATGAATTATTGTTTTTATATTTTTATTATATTCTTCTAGTTTTGAACAATAGACGCTCCAAATTTAAGTGATTTGAATTTGTAGAAAAAAAATTAAAATTCAAACATGAATGAGGTCGTAACCGTTAGATCGGTTCAGATTCAATCTGAGCCATTATCTGACATTGTAGCTATCATTATATATATATATATATATATACTGTCAGCCTATAGTCAGATGAAATAGTATAAACCCAACGACTCATATTGAATTTGGGTTAGTCTGACAGTCACGACTACATTTTGTGTTTGAATTTTAATATTTTTTTTATATACTGAATCACATAAATTTTGGAGCAGATTCTCTACTCATCAATGTGCACATTTATAGCTCTAATAATGGTGTAGATGGAACAAATATGTGAACACTTAGAAATTATGAAAATGAATGGTTTATGGTTTAAAATATATTACAAGATGCACTATTTTAGGATGTGAAATAATTTTATTATTTATTTTTTATATCTGTACATATCTGTACATATCGAGATCAATTACAACTTTCATGATGTTGAAACAATAACTTCCGGTGGATTTTTAAGGTGTACCTTATTTCTACAGTATATGGTTGACACCTATAAATTTTTTCCGTATTGGAAAGAAACAAATCTATGATATTTCAATTATATGTCTCCTAAATAAGCCTTTTAAATTTTTTTTTTTTGGATAATTAAGTGGGGAAGATAGGCCGTACCTATTTTTTTTCAAATAGTTTAAAAGTTAGTTTTGAAAGTATCAATTAGTGGTGTCAGTGAGAATGAAAACCACAACAAAATGACAAGAGTGTGGATGTGCTATTACCAACCCAACTTAGTTCCATCATTCACATATTTGAAATTGACTGTCATTTAATATTTACAAAAATTTATTGGAATGCATCTAAAATATGAATTATTTAGCATTTTACCTATTTCATTTTGAATAAATTTAAAAAATTACCAAAAAATATATAATGTAATTAAAATTTATTAAAACTTATTGACTTTGAGGACTAGAGACATCAGGTGTCCGTGATAGAGCCTCGTAACTTGTTTTAGCCTTTTAACATCCATGATAATACAAATCGTGTGGCTCATTTTGATGTTGAAGAAAGTAGTGTGGCTCGTTAATTTACTCGTGACTTTAGCGATTTGTGTTTCGATGCTGGCGAATCTTTCCTTCTTATCTTATCGCATCTTATTTCAGACAACCAATAATTGCATAGGAACTCACAATACTCAGCGCATCGATAAATGTGAAACATAAAATAATCCAACAAAATTTCCGAAAATGGATCACTCCAGTTTTGTGATAAAATTTGTATAAAAGAAATGTTTTGAGAGGGTTACGAGCTCCTACAAAATCTTACCTCAAATCTTACCGAATTATAGATTTGGCATCAGTAAATATGAGTGAAAATAAATCGGGTTAAGTTTGG